GGAGAACAAAGCCAGCCACAGGAACTGCCCTAGGAGCAGGAGCAGAGCCAGGCAATCTCTGTGCCCCATCAGGGATTCAGTCCTCGTAGCTTCCTAGGAAGGAAGGGCAGGGCTGCGCCACTGGCCCCTCTACCTGTCTCAGCTGATGAGCCGAGGAAGCAAGACTGATGTTCCCAGGCTGGGGCAGCAAGCAAGTCTACAGGGACGGAGCAGCTGCGAAGCAGTGGAAAAGCAGGTTTGTCAAGGGGCTGGATTTAGCGTGCAGGAAGAGGAGGTACCACAGCCACCGTTCCCCACCAGACCCATGAACCGGTGATACAGCATGGCAGAGGCCAGCAGAAGAATCCAGTGAGGTTTATCGTTGTTTTGGGAAATCTGATGAAGCCTGCAAATGGCATAGGCACTCCTGCCAGAAGTGCCCCAGGCAGGGAGAGGAAAGGGTTGCGAGGGGAGGATCAGATCTCTGCTCCTTTCCCCGTACACCTCAGCTGGCAGCCTGGAAAACTCCAGCCCTAGCAGGGTTAAAGGCTGGAGTCGAGACTCTCCTGCCCTGGTGAGAAAAATGCATTTATCTTCTAGAGACTGCAAGCGCCAACGAGAATTGCTGAGACCCTCAGCCTGGATGGCATTGGGGATGCGGAGCTCACTGTGATCCAGCACAACGGTGTGATTATTCCCTGCCTGTCACACACAGCAGTGGGACAGCACCAGCACTGGAGCCAGGACAGGGAACTGGCACGGGAGATCTTCCCCCACCTCAGGGCAGCTCGTATTTCCTTCCAGCCTGCAATGACACTTGCTGCCTTAGGGATCCCAGCAACTGGCTCCCACTCGTCATGATGGAGCAGCACTGGGGCAGGCTCAGAGACCGTATGGCATGGGGGAACCAGGCTCAGGACAAGGCATGGCCACGACGGCCCTATAAGATTTTGATCCCATGGAGCCAGTGGTGTCCCAACCAAGGAGAGGGCTGGGCCAAAGGGTAGTACCAATTTTAGGGCAGCCAATACATGGTTTGGGGCTGGGAAGGCCCACACTTCTCTCCACCAGGGAGCATCACAAACATCACACCTCCTCAGGCTGCAGGAATCCCAATGCTGCTCAGAGCAAACCAAGCCCAATGGGACAGACCAACTGACTCTTTATTCACAGTACTTCCATCCCCCCAAACACCCGTGTGCAGATGTTCCCTTAGCCCTTGCTGGAGATGCAGCAAGCAAAGGAAGCATCACAGAGCGCCCCAGGGCATCCTGGTCATCGAAGCACGAGCCCTCACCAGCACTGGTGGCTGAAGGCTCTACAGCTCCCAAATGGCAGTTTCCCCAGGGCTCACCTCCCATGTCCAGCAACGCTCTGAGCTTGCCTCAGACGCTAAACACGTAGTCCAGCGTGCAAAAGGGGCTCAGCCTCTCACCTGTATCTGTTCTGAAGACGCAGCTGGGAGATTCCCTTTAGTCCTCTGACAGGTTAACAACTTTGACACATTAACAGGTTTATTGTCTCAGCAGGCACTTGGATTTTTTTCCTATTTGGAAGTAATCAGGGTTCCCCATCCCCTGGGGTTCTGCAAGCCCTCAGATGCACGTCTGGTAGAGAGCCCAGGCATTTCAAATCTATCTCATTTTAGCAAGAAACAAAGACAAGAGCCAGGCTTTGTGGGCAAGAGGGATCCAGTTCTGCTTTTAAAAAGAAATGGCCAGATTCAGCCTAAGGGAGCGACCATATCATAACACTCCACCGTGCTGCATACAGTGGAGATGTGCTGCATACAGAGGCAGGCAGGCAGGCAGCCTCAGGACCAAGTGATCGCAAACTGCTCCCACATTGGCAGCGACACGGGGATAGTCAGCACCTGAGGAGGCAAAGGAAAGAATCAGCCTCACTGAGAAACAGGGGGGACAGAGCTGAGCTTGCTGGGGGACCTGCACCCCTTAGCCACTGGCTTTCCTGGGGCAGCCACACAGCTCCGCACCTCTCCTGCAGAGCCTCTTCCTGCTGGTAGCTGCTCTGGGCTGGTCTCATAAACCCCTCCGAGAAGGATTTTCCATGGTAGACAGCCCCGGAGCAGCACTGTGTCACTTCTCCTCCACAGAGCTCAGGTGCTCTGGCCCCATCAGCACGCTTCCTCTCAGTCCTTCATCTACCAGCCCTCACCCCCTTGCACAGCCTAATCCAGTGCAGCCCCAGCCCCGGGTCAGGTGACTCAGCCCATGCTGGGCAATGTTTTGAAGCTGGGCTGGATCAGCCCTTTATTCCTCGACACAAAGCGACTCAAGTACCAGTTGCCAGGGCAAAACCCTTCTATCTCTTGGTTGTGCCACTGAGGTCCCTTCCCAGCTGCCTGCCCTGGCAGCCGGCTAGCAGTACTCCTCCCCGGGCAGCCCAGTGAAGTCACACCTTTCCCATGGGCTCAGAAGAAGCTATGAGGCCAAACACACTTGCCTGGGTGTCGCTGCGGTAGGAGAAGTCATCCACAAGAGCACCGTTGGCCAGGACTTGCTGGGGAGGGCTGGTGACCCCCAGCACGGTCACAGCCTTCAGTAGCAGCCCATCCACCTGGCTGTTTGCCCGCAAGAGCTCACTGAGCACGGCACCCTGCAGCGGCGAGAGGAGCCTGTTACTGAGCCCCGTGGCTACGTGCAGCCCTCTGGCACCCTCCTGTGCTCGGCTGTGCACAAACCCTGCTGAGCCTCCCTGTGAGGCAGAGAGGAACCAGGGTGGGAGCACGGCCTCGGCAGGCCTGCAGCACGGTGGGTCCCCCCGACGGGCACGGCTGCGTTCCTGAGCCTGCAGCCTGGCCCCAGAGCCCAGGACAGTGCTGCCATGGGGGCTGGCCTGGCTCTCCCAGAGGGAATGAGCAGGGCTGGGATCAGGGAGGGCCTGGACCACCTCATACGCATTCAGCACTTCCTGGAAGAGTGGCATGCTTCCAGTGGACACATCCTGGCCCAGGCTGCACCAGGCCAATGTTCTGCCTGTCTCCGTGGCACAGATAGTGCCAGCGGGATGGGGCAGGTGATCTGCAGTCACTAAAACCTAGTAGAGCCATTGGAGCAACAGGGATGAGCAACATGCGCTCCTGCATGGCACCTCTTCAAGGTGACCATTCTGACCTGTAGCCCTTGGGGCATCAGAAGAGAGCAGCCGCACCATTTTTCTGCTGCTAAGGGGGCTCTTTGGGAGTTACAGGCCCTGCAAGGGCTCTTTTGTTCTGTCAGAGCTGCGCTGTGTTGGTGCAAAGAGTGCTGTAACTCACACTAAGAGAATCACAGCCCACAGGGACTGCAGCTCCCTGCATGTCCTGCAAGGCCAGAGTTCAGCCCAGCAATTTTGGTGACAGCTACAGAATGTCTTTGCTGCACCACGGCACAGCACCCACCATGCATACCCAAGCCCCAGGGGGACCGGGACCTGCACGGAGCAGGAGATATCCTGTCAGAAGCCTCCTGCCGCCAGATTCTCTCTCCACACTCACATGCGTCGCCAGGAAGAGGATCTGTGTGTAATCCCCGTTCTCGAAGGTCTGTAAGCTCTCTCCATCATCCCAGAACAGGTCACCCCTGGCAAACCCGTCTGTCGTCAGTGCCACGATCAACGTCATCCCCTTCTTCCGGGACTCGACAGTACTGAACGCAGGCTCCTGGGGTTGTGGACAAGGGTGGAGGGGATCAGACACAGTCCACACAGCAATAATCGCTTCGAGAGCTGACGATGCATGTTGGGACACCTTTTCCCCCAACCCTGGTTGAGAACTGAAGGCTCACAGCTTGTTCTGTAACGTCCAGTTTGCAGGCAACTGCTTCATGCACTCTCTGCCCTACCCTCTTGGGGTTTTTGACAGCCATGATTGCAAAACGTCACCAGAGCTTCACTTTAGTAGAGGGAACTCACCTGCAGAGGCAGGATGTGCCCTGCTCGGACATGCACGTTAATCGTGTCCAGGGGAGCTGGTAAGAGGATCCACTGGCCTTTGCTGTGGATGGTCGAGTCCTAAACAGCAACAGAAAGAGGAAAGAATATATCTTAGGGGACAGCATGTCCGAGAAAGACCTCAGCCAGGCATCACAGCTCTCAGATTTCCATGAGTGAAGCCCCACAAGAGGTAAAAGACTTAAATAACCAACAGACTTTGGAAAATTTGGTCAGGGTCTGATGCCACAGATGTGATGGAAGAATGTATATATGGCCCAGAAGAGAAACCGCTGCTGCCCCAGAGCTCCTGCATCAGTGCTGTTCCCCAAGACCTTTGCAGCCCAGTGCTGCTGGGAGCAGAAGGATAAGGAAGCACTTACTCCAGCTAAGCTGTACCAGGTTCCTGCTGGGAAGTAGCCACTGACTTTGGTCTTTCCTGCCTCAAGCACTGGTGTGACAAGGAGCCCTGCACCCCACATGAGTTGGCGCTCCACAGTCCAGGTGTTGGGGTCTTTTGGGAACCTGGAGAAGGATCCACAAAGCAGGATTGTAATGCCAGGGCATTACCGTGCAAGAGATCCTGCGCTTATCGCCCACTGAGCCACTGCACAGACCCGCAGCTCCACACAGCCTGCAGAAGATCACACACATGGACACACCACCCTGCCCCATTCTGCCCCAGAGACGCTCCCCTTGCTCAGCCACCACTGCCCCTGGCCAGGGGCCCAACTGGGCACTCACTCAAGAAAGAGAGGCCGCGCCACTGTTTCCCCGGCAGAATGAGCTTTGTGGAAGAGGGTGTAGAGGTATGGTAACAGGGCATAGCGGAGGTAGAGGGCCTTCCTCATGGCATTCTGGGCGGCTGGGCTGAAGGCATACGGCTCCTGAGGCTGCAGGGAAGAAGCTGAAGTGAAACACTTGGACGGTACAGGCAGTACACAAGAGGAATGGTGAAACATGCCTTTTGGGTCATGAGGTGGACTTGCCCTGCACAGCAGGGCAGCAACAGCCCCAGGAAGACCCAGCTCTGCTCATATGCTGCATGCACAAGCCCAGCCCCAGGCAAGCATGGCCCTGCAGCACTCAAATCACATGCAAGGGCTGCTCTGACAAGTCAAACCCTGCCTGCTTTCATGTGCTCTTCTCCCAACACCAGCCACTGAACAGGACACAGACCCAGGAGCTATTCAGACAGGCTGGCCATCAGCCATGCACATCACCAATTCACTGACTCTTGCCCCTTCCACCAAACTGCCCCTCTGCCTTCCACAAGAGCCTCCAAGCAGCGTGAGCAGGAAGGACTTGGCTGGCTGAAACCCTCCTTGGCAAGGTGAGCACTCCCTGCCCAGTGACAGACGCCTGCCCATGCTCACCCGGTTGCTGTGATCATTGTGATTCCTCATGAAGGGGTAGAAGGCACCCAGCTGGGTCCAGCGCACGCACAGCTCCTCAGTCGTGTCACTTACAAAACCACAGATGTCTGCCCCAACCAATGGCACCCCAAAGAGATTGAAGAGCAGCACCTCTGCAGAGGGGACACAGACAGAATCAGGGCTCTTGCAGTGTCTGGGGCACGGAAACACGCTGCCACACCCCAGAGCCCGTCAGCATACAGGGCCAGGCTCCATCTCTGGCAGGAGCTCCCTCCCCAGGAAGCTGGAGTACACGGATACCACAGCACAGAGCTCAGGGACGTGGCAAGGACACTGGCAATGCTGGCAGATTTGAAAAAGCAGAAGGGGTTATCTCCCCCAGCAGGAGTCCCTGCAAGGGGTCAGGCCCATGGAAAGCAGGTGGGAACAGACCTCATCCCATGACATCGCAGGCTGTGAGGGTTGCTGGACCTAGAGCTGACTCCCAGGGAGACTGTGAGGAGGTGAAGAAGCCACGGAGAAGTCTCCCAGCTTCTAGGAAGGTATAGTTCTCCTCAGGGAGAAAACAGCAGAGGGATGCAGCCCCAGGAACCTACCTGGTATGGAGTAATACAGCTGCTCCCAGTTGCTCCAGACATCCCCTGTCCAGTGACCAGCATAGCGCCCGTGACCAGCAAATGTGGATCGCGAGATCACGAAGGGGCGCTTTCCCCGGATTCTCACCAGTGCACTGAGGGGATGATTCGGGTCAGTCTGGCCAGGAGAAGTCCCCGGACTGCAGCCAGCGCCCTGTGTGCCACCCTGCGCCAGTGACTCCTGGCAATGGTGCTAAGCTGACGTGAACCAAAGCAGACACCCACTGCTATCTCATATGTGGGGTAAATGATGCTGGGGCAGAGCCATATACATGAACCTCCAGCCTAGGAGATGGGAGTTGCCACTGCTGGCCATTCAGCCTGGGGAGCTGAGCTGAGCTCCCCACGTGTCTTTCTGGACCTCATCTTGAGTCAGCAGAGCTCCAAGAAGGCAGAGAGCAGCCCGTGGCCAGTGGATCCCACAAACAGCACAAGCCGGCCACACCTTCCTTCCATGACAGGAAAGCCCACGCCTGCACTTTTACCCCACACATGAGAGAGAGTTTTCCTCCAGGCCTGAAGGAGCATCAGTCAAGGGGGAGCAACAGTGTCTGGGAATGGGCAGCGTGAGGCACCAAGGCACAATGCTCCCCTTCTAGCACTGGCCATTCAGCCTGCACCAGTCCCAGGGCACATGGGGATGCTTCTGTCCACCTCTCAGGCCTGGGAACTTGGCAGAAGGGAAAAACCTACCATGTTATAAAACTCAAACCTTCACCTATTCTTTGAACCCTTTTCCCTGTGCCTAAACTGCCCACCCAGTAGTGCAGGGAGACGTGTTCAGCATCCCCTGCTCTCCTAAATGGTCAGGATGAGCAGAGGGGTGTCAGCTCCTTGAGGCTACTGGGACTGGATGAGCCAGGCTCCCATAGGAGGGGACACTCCCCGAAGGAGCTGCAGCAAGAGTTTCAGACTTACTTGTGGGAAGCAATGGCCTCTGTTAGCCCATACAGACTGTGGAGGTTGTAGTGAGATGACAAGTACTGCTGGCTAGAGGCACAAATGGTTCCTGCTCGAAGGCGTCCCCCAAACACACCTGCATAGAAGAGAAGACTGTGAGAGTGAGCTCAGGGCAGCTGTCACTCCAGCACTAGGCCTGCAAAGACCACTCTGCTGGGATGGGTTCAATGCCCACAGCCACCTTCCTCAGAGGTCAGGGCTGGCATAGGCTCATGGGGTACCAGAAGCAAAGGTTGCCTCACTCTCCTGTGGAAGGGCACAGTACCCCTTAAGAAAAGGGCTGCTTTTGCAATCATTGCATCTAATGCATCTGCTCTCCATCTGCAGAGAGCACTCACAGCAGTCGTGCAAGAGTGAGACCTCCCAGAGGACCAGAATCAGCATTTTGGTTCATTCACTACACTCAGCTCTGGTTCCCTGCCTGCTCTTCCACGTTCAAAGCCTGCACCTACAGGAGACACAAGCCTGGCAGCACTGAGAGATGGCTTGTGGCTGACCTCTCCCAGGGTCCCTGTGTGTTCTGGCACCAGAGAGCCTCACTCCCTTGCTCCTCCTGGTGCTCTCTTCTCCCCCAGAAAAGGGCCAGTCCCTGCTTTCCTCACCTGGTACATAGGGTGGGTCCTCCAGTTTGTTGCTTGGACAGCCGTCCTGAGAACCCTCCACAAAGTTTGATGGCTCGTTCATGTCCTAGAGAAAGAAGAGGTTTTTTGTTTCTGGACCAGGACGTAGCAGATGCGTAGAGAACGAGAGAGGGAAGTGCACCCAGCAGCTCTGCCAGGGCTCCTGGCACCCACTGAGCCTCAGGAGAGGGAAAAGCCACTCACAATCCACATGCCATCAAAGGGCACTTGGTCGTGGAACTCTTTCACCATGTCGTACCACCACTCATGTGTCTCTGGGTTGGTGAAGTCTGGGAAGGCTGTTGGGCCTGGCCACACCTGGAAGAGGAAGGAAGCAGCAATGGGCAAGGCCTGCCAACCCTATCCTCCCTGCATCCCATATGCCTATGTCTAAATTGCCTGCTTCTTCACCACAGCTGTCTCATGTGTGCTTTCCCCCATCACTCAGAGCTGCTGTGCTCAGCAGCTCTCCCAACTCCATCTCATCAGTGCTAGAGAGCCAGGAGAACATGGGGCTCTTAAGTCCCACAAGTTTTGTTAAATCCCAGCACATACCTTCCCAATCAGGGGCTGTCCAGTTGCATTTTGGATGAAAACCCCTCGCTTCAGTCCATCATCATAGGGTTTGTAGGTACCAGGAGGCCCAGAGCTGCTGATCCCTGGATCCTAACACAGCACAAAGTAGTGACTCCAACCGTGAGAATGGGGAACAGCTCTTTGCACTCCAAGCACATGAAAGAGAAGTACAAGGCTCCCATTTGCACTCTGCCCAGACTCCCAGCACAGTGTACAGGGTAGCATCCAGCCAATAGCTTCTGCAAGAAATTCTGCAAAACCCTTGGTGAACAAAGGGCAAAAAGCCTGAGGAAGCAGCACGTACTGGCACAGTGGTTGTTAAAGAAGAGATTGCTAAGGTTTTTACTCCTGTTGGAGCCTCAGGGGAAAGCTGAGGATCCAGGTGATGCACAGTTCATATGCAAATGCAGTAACAGTGATTTTCCAGACTGAGAGTGCGCTCCCTGCTTCAGACACACAAATTGCTTCCTGCAGCCTCCTGTTCCCAGTCTGTGACTGCTAACGCTGCTTTTAGACCTGGAATCTGACCAAGCCAAAGGCAGCTATTGCTAAACTCCCCCAGACACCTCAAGGACATTCAGTGGAAGGCAAGAGAACCTTCAGCCCAGCCAGCAGGGAGGGAAGGGGCTGGGATGTCAGGGACTCCAGGAACTACATGTTTGATCCACTGCAGAAGTTCTGCTGTTGTTCTCAGACAGCACTTACTCATTTGAGCATGTGGCAGGCTGGTGGGTAGCCAGATCAAGAGACCGCAGACAAATCCTGGCTTGTTACAGCTCTTTGGTTTCCCAGCCCTTCACACAACAGGCCAGAGCCCACCTGTGCAGGAGAAGTAGGGTGAAGCTGGAGGTGTCACTCACCACAATCATGATGTATCTCAGGCCGCTCTGGTGAAAGTCCCGCACCATGTCCGGATAGTCCTTGAAAGTTTTCTTGTTGAAGGTGAAATCTCTCTTGGCATCCATGTAATCCAAGTCATTCCACTGCACGTCCTGGGGAGACCAAGACTACTGTGTTACAGGAGGAGCGGGCCTTACCTGCAGACAGCCATACCCCACCAACCAAAGCAGGTAATTCCACCCCATCGATGCTCTCCAGTCAGCCTCTGCGTGGCTGATTTCAGAGAGAGGCTTCACTGGCTCCATGACTACTCATCCTGACTCCAGATGCTTCCCTGGAGAGCAGCCAAGACCTACCAAGGGGAATCGGGCTGCTGTCATGTTGATCACAACCTCCCGGGTAATAGCAGTGGAGGAGTAGCCCCAGCGGCAGAGGTGGAATCCCAGGCCCCAGTATGGGGGCATGAAGGGGTATCCTGGAAATCAGGAGGGAGGTAGTCAGCAAAAACCAGCAGAGGGACTGCAAAGCATTGAACCTGCCCTGCAGCTCTCTCTGCCACAGCCGCCCAGAGACACAGCAGCCAAGGCATCTCCCCTCCTGCAGCAGGAGGAAGGGGGCAGAGGGGTCTCAGAGAAGGATAACATTTGCCTTCTCCCTAGCAACCCCTGGGGACTGTGGTTATGACACGGGCAGTACATCTGGCAGGCCAAGGAAAGGAGTGACCCTTGAAGGGCTGCACAGAGGACAGGTACTGCCAGTTCACTCCCAACGACGGCTGGCCTCTGAGGCGCAGCTGACCCGGGAATGCTTGTGCCCCCTCCCAGCTCACGGGATCC